GAAAGACAAAATAACTTTTCTGAGCATTTGGGTCGGTCTGTGGTCTGAGTGTTGGTTTTGATTTCGCAATATTTTTGCACAATGCCTGCTTATTGTTTGCTTTTTTGATAAAATGGTGTCATAATCCCATGAATTAGGACCTTTCCAAATTCCAAATTAAGTTTTTCAGCATGCGTTACCGACTGTCAAGCATTTGCATCTGAAAATTGTCGACTACATGTGTGGAACAGCGTTACAAAGAAATCTTTGTTAAGTAAAAATTGAATGGGATATAAAGATATATCTCAACTGCTGATTATAAATATTACTTTTTCTTTTGATATTTGCTGAATTTATAGATGGAAGAGTTGTTAAAGAACCAGATATTTGCAGTACATGCACTTTCTGGTGTAGGGTGGGTGGCATTAGGCACAGCTCTTACTTACCCTCTTAAAATTCTGTGACTTTTTGCTTTTGTGTCCAGTAAATTGAAATCTTTGGTTCAGCCGAGCTGTGTATATAGTTAGGTTCAGTTGCATGGATTTTGTTTTTAAGATCAGCAAACAATTTGGGATTGAAATTTTTGTATTTTTTCATTCGTAGTTATGTTAGTACTTATTACTGGATGGACTCTAAGATCTTGGATCGAATTAACGGTGCTCATCCCTCCAAATTTTTGTTTATATTGTAGAGTAGATGTATTAATGGGATACATGTCTAAATTCTGTAGAAGGCCTTCTCAATCTATTATCTACAATTCATTCTCATTATTATTCAATTTCACAGTTCTTATCAAGTTCTTTTCCACCAACTCACTCAATCCACCGCCAATTCACCCAAATCCGATGAAGTATAAATACACGAAAAAGGAGATCATTTTTAATTTAGAGGGTTTTGTTTGTGTGTTTGGATCCTCGGTGTAACTAGATAACTTGGTTCTCTTTTCATTTTGAGGAAATAGCGGTTTTTTAGGGTTCTGTGTGCAGCCTTCAGAGTTTAGTGGTGCTTGCTTTCAATCTGTTTTCAAGAATATTGTTTTGTGAAGTGATGAGGCAATCAGATTTCTGGGGTTGATAAAATTGTTTGGTGTGCTCTTTCTTTGTTTATATTAATTGAGTTTATAATGTACTTTAAAACCTGAATTATAGATTTGTTTTCCGTATTGAATGTCAAATTATCAGTGTATAGATACAAAAAATGATTTCAGTGTATGTATTTTTATGAGTTTATAATGGTATAATAATTTGTATCAAAAAAAATACAAATGACAAATTGTGACAAAATTATGTTTGGCAAGATAAAATTTCTATGTCAAATGGTGAAGTATCACGAGTTGGTTTCCAGTTTTAATGTTCTTATTATGTGTTGTCTTTGCTTTCATAAATTGATACTTTATTGATGATAAAACTGATTTGGTTTTGCAGACCATAATTTTTAAGCAACAAAATTAAGCTGGAAATTAAATTGAGGTATGAATGCTTCCCCTTATTCAGGTTATTCAATTGATCTTTTCCTTTTCTGGATTTTATTTTTGAATGTTGTTTGATAAAACTAATTTGGTTTTGTAGATTAAGATTTTTAAGCGAGAAAATCAAGTTGGAAATTCAATTGAAATTGTAATGAATTTGCAAATTTGTCAAGTATATCTTACATTCGTGGTTCCATATTCACTTTACCCATAACTATTGAATTTTGTCTCTTGACTGGATGGATTTTTATAGTTTCCAGGATCTACAATTGCAAATCCTTTGATGGATAAAACACAGAGGACCAGCTACGCTTATAGAGCTTCTTTAGCATCGTAAGTTAAAATTGCATATCATTTTTTTGCTTCATGGAATTCATTATGTTTAATAGTATACCAAGTATGTGATACCAATTTTTATCTTAGCAGTTTCTAACAATTTGTAAAGTACGATAAATGTGTAGAAGTTTGAATTATACATATGAAAGTTTCATCTATTATACTTTTTAACAATCATTCACAAGTAATGCTATCCAGAGTAAAAAGGTCATACCCAGTGCACAAGGCTCCCGCTTTACGCAGGGTCTGGGAGAGGTGAATGTTGGCTAGCCTTACCCCCATTTATGGAGAGGCTGCTCCCAAGTCTCGAACCCGAGACCTACCGCTCATGGGCGAAGACACTTGCCATTGCACCAAGTGCGACCTCTAATGCTATCCAGAGTGATTCAAAGAATTTCAAGAGCTTCATTCATCCAATTTATGTTCTTCATGTAAAAATTCTTTCAATAAGTTCAAACATCTTTCGGTATAGATAACATTAACATTCTGTAACAATATATTATAGCTTTGAAACATTTTTCCATACAATTTATAATCCCGCAGCAACGCGCGGGCAATTATTTCTAGTACATTCAATTTCTTGTATTCTAATTAAATTAAATTTTCAAAGTAATATTACAATGTAGTAAGTAAAGGATTTCAAATTTGACTCGCAATCTCACATAGATTATAAAAACGTATAATATCTGTATTGATTTTGATACTCAGTAAGTGACTGATTGATAGGTCACAGTGGAATCTTTTTGTTTAGAGTATGGTTGTATCAAAAAATTAAATTAACTTAATACTTTCAAAAATCCACGTACATTGTGTCACCAACCATGATCACTACTTCTCTTCACACGTGTCAAACGGGACCGCATAATATTTTTGAGTTTTGACGTACTTTTATCCGTGTCGCTTTCGAGTGTGCTCCCACGCGGACATTACCCTCTTCGTATAAAAGGATTTCTTTCTTCGCATGTGGAAACTTCAATTTCATATTAACCATGATCATGAAATCCAACTATGATGTAATCATCTAACGATCAACATGATAATACAAGGGAATGGAAACTTTCAAAAAGGATGATCGAGCAATAGCTTATTAGGTCTTAATTTATTAATATTTCTCTTTACGTATCGTACAAGTAAACTAGTTTATAAATCTCAAGTGGTGTGTAGTTTAATTGGTTAAAAACATTTGCTTTTATGGTTGAGATCTTCTGTTCAAATCTCTCTCTACATAATTTAGATAAGTTTAATGTAGGTTATTTTATCATTTGTCCCAAAAAAAAAACTATAGTCCATAAAACGACTTCAAACTTTATGTAAACAAATATATGTTGCACTCTAATGTCATTAGGAATGTGATTGTGTAAATTTTAGTAAATTATGTGTAGGAATTCTATGAGATCTGGAAGATCTTTCCTTGTACAACTTTATTATTTGGAGAGAAAGTTTATCTTGCTTATTAGTATAATTAAATGCACAAAGCATGAGGAATAACATTCACAGAATTCCTTAAGTCCTCTATCTTCTCCTCTCCCTTGCTGATCTCCCTCTTTCTTCCCTCGTTAAATTCATACTACAACAATACAATGATATATTGACATATATCGAACTTTTTGGATGAAGGACTAAGTGAAGACACAAAATGAGTCAGCCATAATAATTTGGAGACGAACCTAAAACTCTAAACTTACAAGTGAAGAAACATCGAATTACATAAAGAGTAATGAGGACCAAGAAAAGTAAAGGAGGATGGATGAATGAAGGAGGATGCATGCAAATAAACTCCTTAAAAAATTTCTGGTTTTATACGTCCCACATCTCTCACCATAGTTGTTCCATCCTTTTCTTCATGTTCTTTGTCACATATATTTCCTTATTGTATCTCTGAAAATGTAAATTAAAAATTAAAATAGTTATAAATTAGGTGCTAGCTAAATAATTTTCTGTTTGACTTATCTTTTGAATAACGTCACATAAAATAGGGTGAGTTGAATAGTATAAAATTAAAAAAGAGGATACGTTTGGTAAGGTGTTGGGAAGAATTAATAAAAATAATATGTTGATATATTTAGACTTGATCTTCTTGTATAAGATATTATATGAGATTAAGGCCATAGCCTCTTTAATGCTTCGAGAAAAGTTGAACAACCAAAGCCACAAGAAGGTTATACAAAAAAGATCGGATCAAGCATAAATCTGAAAAACAAATGTTTAGCACGTTCATTGTATCTAGAAGATAGCACGTTTACTCGAAAACAAATGAGAAAGACCCATTTCCATGAAGAAACAGTAAGGTTAGTTTTGGACGTGGGGCTCATATCTGTGGGTTCGTAATTGTAGAGTTCTTAACCTGCTTCATACTATAAAATTCAACTGTATTATGATAGCAATATTATTCTCCACTTGTAAGTGGTAGCTCTTACGTTCGATTCCAGTAAATAGTGAGTTTGTAACTCAATTATGTGTCTCAGTCCAAATCTCTTACTTGTTAGTGTAAATAATATTATTGTGTTGAAAAAAATATGTGTCTCAATCCAAATCTCTCACTCGTTAGTGTAAATAATATTATTTTGTTGAAAAAAAAAAACTCATATCCTAGAGGGAAATGATAGTTTAATCCAGAAGTACCATGTAGCACTGTGGAATTACTGGTGAAATATTGAGATGTGAATTAAAAGCTCTTCACTTATATAATTTCTGGGTAATACTTTGGAGTATTGTAGATTTGTTTTAGAGTTTTTGTTTTTTAACAGATACAACCACACACTATACTCATCTAAATTATGGGGACGGAAATTTAAACTTGTAGATGGAAGAACGCATATATTGCTCTAATCAACTTAGCTAAACTAATGTCCACAATTTTTTAGGAGTTATATATAGATGAACTGCAAGTACTATTCTCCATAAAATAAAGAAGAAAATAGATGTTGAAGCTTAGCACTGCATATTAACTGAAGTTTAGGGTTTCTACTTTCAAGTGTTAAAGCTTAAGTCATGGATGATCTATTCTGAATGTATTTCTCATTGATTGCCAAGTAAACTGACGAAAATTAAACCATCTCAAATATTCAAATGAAAGACTGATTCAAAATTTTTACAATATTTGAATTGGTTCTATTTCCGGTATTCTCTTTGAATTTTATAAGTAATATTAAATGGTTGTTCTTGTTTTTTAAGGAATATGATGAATCTGAAATATTCAAGAACAGACGCTATATATACGGTAGGTAGGCTTCTCGATCAAAAATGCGATCTTTCTAATAGTATATTCGTGTACTATATAGTTATATTTAGCTTTCAGCTAAAATAGTTTCTGAGATTAACATAACTCTTTATTTTGGTCTCTGAGATTTAAAATCGATAGAACTGGTCCCTAATTTGTGAATCATCAATCATTTTAGTCATTCTGTAAAAAAAATCTTCGTTAAATAAGGATGAAATGACAAAAATATCTTCATTTTTTATGAAATTATTTTGGCCTATTGTTTATTAAATTGAGACTATTTTTGTTATTTTAGTCCTTATTTAACATAAATAGTTCCTGAAATGACCAAAATGATTGATAGTAAACAAACTCAGGAATCAGTTTTATCGATTTAAAATCATATGAACCATTTTAACCTAAAAGCCAGTTACATTTTGAAGTTCCTAAAACATTGTTCCAGTTTTTACGTTTAATGTAATATCATGTTTGTCACATCTATAATTTTTGTTTTTTTTTTTTTTATAAACTTTCAAATATAAAGTAAATCCCAAATTTTCCATGCAACAGTCTGTCAACAGATTAAGTGCACTTAGGCCAATTTTATTTATTTTTTCAACGCAAAAGAATACATCAAATTCATGTTTTATGTGCTATTAGATGGGACACAATTTTTAGTTATTTCTATGTTATGCTTAGGGCCGGCTCTAAGGACCAATGTTTGAATAAACGCTTTAGACCCTACTATTTTTTCATGTCTAAATAATAGGGTCTCGACTTGGTTTAATCCCACAGTCCTTAGACAAAAACTTTATAAATCCTAAATAAAGTGTGTCAACCAACCAAGTTATTTATTACTACGATCTAGTAGTATTTTTTTTTTTTTTTTTTACTTGTAAGAGAATAGTTTTATATTCAAATCTTGTAGATGATGAGTTTGAAACCAATTTATCGTTGTATTAAAAAAACACAGTTGTCAACCAAACAAAAAAGGGCAAAACTTTTTCAAACTAAACACTTCATTTGAATCTCTTATTATACTATAACTATTAAAAGATAGCCGATACAATCAGAGGTTGTGCATTTACCTGATATTCGAGGTTCAAAACATCAAAAGAAAAAACATAATGCTTAAAACAAACCAAAAAATACCCTTTCATATTGTAGACAAAACATAGTTAAAGTCATGTTTCGTAGGGAAAAAAAATAACTTCAAACGCAAATTTATTGCACCCTTGTTAGTGCTCCATAGATTAAAATGATTTCTTTCTGGAAAAATTGATTCTTCAAGTGTTTTTCACTAACATTATTGGTTTCAACGAGAACTAAAACGTTAAAGTAAAATATAATAATTTATTTAGAAAACAAAAAAAGTTTGTATTCAAATGTGTGTGGACCTCATGATATAACAATCAAATCTCTCTAAAGTTATATAATTGAGACTGTTGATGCACAAAATCAGTGAGAACTTTGTTACAACAGAAAGTGTTAAGTTTGTGACCTTTGCTAGATTGCTCCGGTCACTATTGTGGATAAGTATGTAAATGTATAGAGACAGAGAAGCAAACACAAGATGTACGTGGTTCAACCAAATTGGCTACGTCCACGGAGTAAAGGAGTTCTCATTAATTGTGAAGGGTTTACACAAGTACATAGGTTCAAGCTCTCCTTTAGTGAGTACTAGTGAATGATTGAGTACAAATGACATTCACTAGCACTCACTAAAGGAGAGCTTGAACCAAGGAGAGCTTGAACTTATGTACTTGTGTAAACCCTTCACAATTAATGAGAACTCCTCTACTCCGTGGACGTAGCCAATCTGGGTGAACCACGTACATCTTGTGTTTGATTCCCTGTCTCTATCAATTTACATACTTATCCACACTAGTGACCGGAGCAATCTAGCTAAGGTCACAAACTTGACACTTTCTGTTGTACCAAAGTCCTCACTGATTTTGTGCATCAACAGAGACCAAACCAATTTTAACTTTAGGGAGGTTATTACCTATTGGCTTTTTAGCTAAAATGGTCTCTGAGATGTGCATAACACATCATTTTGGTCCCTGAGATTGAAAATTGAAAATTAATAGAAATGGTCCCTGAGATTGTCCCCCACCCATTATTTTGGTCCTTCCGTTAAAAACTGTGTCAAGTGTCCCGAAGCTCTTGGCTCAAAGTTTAGGCAATTTTCAAAGCTTCGTAACTCAATCGTTTCTTAACCAAATTCGACCCATAATATATCAAAATGAAGATAGGAAAGTGTAGAAAAGATTATACCTATTTGGAAGCCCAATGGTTGCCGAAGATGGTCGGAAAATAGCCTGAAAGGTGATTGGTCCGTAGGAAAATTAGAAAACTCGCCAAAAATTGGGTAAAC